TCCACACACACACTCATGGGAATCTGTCCAATGGCATTGATTCCCCCCCCCATCCTCACCAGAAGATTTTTTTTTTTCCCCCATTGATTTTTAGAGAGTGTGGAAGGGAAGAAGGAGGAGGAGGAGAGAAAAAAAAACAAAAAAAAACAAAACATGGAAGTGAGAGACACATCAATTGGTTGTCTCCAGCACGAGCCCCGACCAGGGTCCGGGATCAAACCGCAACCAAGGTACATGCCCGTGACGGGGAATCTAACCTGAGACCCTTTGGTAACATGGGCCTGTGCTCTAACCACTGAGCTCACCAGCCAGGGCATGGCATTAGTTTTCCAATCAGGAATGGGGTGGCCTCTCTCACCACAGGGTCCTTTACTGGAGCTCTCTGGCTCCAGCCCAAGGCATCCAGATAACAAAGGCCAAAGTCAGGTGGACGGGTGTGGGCTGTGGGCCTACCCAGAGGACCCCTGGCACCAGCCGTTGGCTGCTTGTCCCTGTGCCAGGACCCTGTAGGGAGCACCCGAGGCTTGAGGCTGGGCAGAGGCAGCAGCCTATTGGGGGCCAACCACAGGCTGCTCCACCCAGTGACTCAGCCCCACACCAGGCCTCCCCAGGGAGGACAATGGTGGCTTATGGATGCCAGGAAGACCTCTAGGCAGGTGTGAGCCCTGGGGTGGACTGGCCTGGCCCCCAGGGAGGAGCTCTCTGAGCCTCAGTTTCCTCATCTGGACAAGGATTTAATCACCCAGGTACGTGTGAGGACCTGACAGTTCAATGTATAGATGGAAGGTGCCACATTTGGAACTAAAACGGGGGAGCTCTGATGGCCCAGCTTGCCTTGGAGGACAGGGACTGGACCCATCAAAGGTATCTCTGTGCCCTAATGTGAAACACTAAGCCTGGCACACAGTCGGCGCTCAGTAATCCCATGGTCCGTGAACGGACCATCACCCACTTCCGGGGGCATGTCCAGTGCCACCCCAGGAACACTGGCTAGACTCTACAGTTTAAAATCATAGCCTTAGGAGTCTGGCCCACCCTCAGCCCCAGCCTGGTCCCCCAGAAACCACTCCCAGGCTGGGGAAGCCAGTACAGGCCACAGAACTGTGGGGTCAGGATTGGGCCACCAGGAAGGGCTGGGGGCTGTGGGGCCCACACGTAAAGAGTCCCAGGTTCATTAGTGCGAAGAGGCCTAGGGATCCAGGCAGGAGCTGTGGGGGCCTACTCTATGCCCATCGCCGCACCCTTCCATTTTCCTGGTGGAGAAACTGAGACCCAGGGTGTGGCAAGAATTTGCCCAAGGTCACAGTGAGGTGATAAGGATGAGGGTTTCAAACCCAGAAACCAAGACTCCCCTTCCCAGGCCTGGGGCAAGTGGGGGAGTCTCTGGGCCTGAAGGAAGGTAGTGTCAGGGTGAGAACCAGCCTACGTCAGGCGTATTAGGAGGGGCTTGTGACTTTATTAGGAACCCCTGCCTCTCCCTGGGTCTTCACCCCCTTATTCCTTCTTTCCTTCCTTTCAGCCCAGCGCCCTGGACTTCCTTAACCAAGGTTGATTCAGTGGCTTCAGGTGGAGGCGGAAGAGCCTTGCAGCCAGGGCTTTCCAAGGACAAAGTCCCAGAGGTGGGAATGAGGCTGGCAGGTTCCCTAACAGTGAGGAAGCCCTGTGTCCAGGGGCCAGGGGGGGATGGTAGCCTCTTCCCAGGCCTGTGGAACTATTTCTCTGGGGGCGCAGAGAGCCATGGAAGAGTGCGTTAGTTAATTTATAGTAATTATTACTCCTATTCCATAAGGTCTGTGGTCTTCAAAAGTTGAGGAGCCCCTGGCTTGTGGGGGGGGGAACTTTGGACCTACAAAGAGATCACGGAGAATCAGAGGCCTTGGTCTGGCCTTAGTCCTGTTCAAACTCAGGTCCAAATTCTGTATTACAGACGGGGAAACTGAGACCGGCGAGTCAGAGGCACAGAGCAAGTCCCACGTGGGGCTCTGACCCTGAAACAGAGCTGGCCTTGGTTTCCCTGCCCATGACATGGGTCTGATTCGTTCGCCCGCTCGCAACACCCGGCACCTGGGCTGGACCTAGGAACGCAGACTCGACGACGCCCGAGAGGCCGCGCGGGCGCCCACGCGAACCTGAGAATGAAACTGCAGAGCCCACCCCCGCCGTTTCTCGTGGCCTCTCTCTCTTGGAGAGTCCCGCCTCTTTCTTCGCTGTCCGTAGAGAGGGCGTGGCCTCTTCGCGAATGGCCGGCGGCACCGCCAATCAGGCTTTCGCGCCCTCCGATTGGCCCTGACCGCTCTGCCTTATTTTCCATCTCACGGTCCTTTCCCCGCTGGCGTCATGGATGCTCTCATCCCAACCCTCGTGCGCCTCCGCGCTAGAATATAGTCCCTGTTCGCTCTCTGCGCCGTTTGCCGACGGACCCCCAGGGAATCCCCCATCCCCAGACTCCGGGCTTCGCGACGCTGCAGCCGCCTCCCTGCGAGCGCGAGGGAGGTAGAACCGGGGCAGGGGGCCCGCTCGGACGGCGGTGGCGGAGGGATTCGCGGCGTCCCGGGACGGGGCGGGCCGTAGGCGGGCCCCGGAGTGGGCGTGGCCGGCGCGCGGGCGGGGGACGGAACATGTCTCCCGCCGCAGGAAGATGAGGCAGCGGTGGCGCCCGCGGACGTAGCGGGCCGGACCGAGCCGACCGGACGCGGCCACGGGCCCCGCGTACTCCACGTACGCCTCCTCCTCCAGGGCCCCGACCGCGCGCGGGCCCGCGGGGAGGGTCCCAGGCCACGGGCCGCCAGCGCGCGACCCTCGGGGTCGGCGGGCACCCCTTTGTCGGGGCGGGGGGAGCCGTACGTGCGCCGCTTCCCGTGAGCGGCGGGCCGGTCCGCGCTGAGCAGGTAACCGCACCGGGACCCGGGGCCGCGCGGCGTTGGGAGCCCCGCGTCTTCCTGCAAAGTTGCTTCGGGCCTCCCCGCGCCCCGGGAGCCGGGAAGTTGGGGCGGGAGGGACGCTGTGGGGTGCACTCCCCCCTCCCGGCCCCTGTGGGCCGGCTGCTGGGCGGCGGCCCGGAGTCATTGTTCTCTAACTTTGCGCGCCGGGAGGGAGGTTGGGGCGGACGACGTGGAGGGTCCGGCGCCCGCGAGGCCCGCGCGCACCCCGTCCGCGGCCGGGCCGGCCACTTCGGGAAACTTTGCAGACCCCGGGGCGGCGGCGTGGGGGGCGCCCGAGAGGCCGCCCAACTTTGCGGCTGCGGGCCCCGGTCCCGACACGCGGGCTGGGGGCGCCCCCTCCCCGGGGAGGGGCGAGCCGGGCGCTGAAGTTTGGAGGGAGAGCGCGGGAGGGAGGGAGCGCCTTTTGTCTGAGCGGGGAAGGTGCGGCCGCGCGGGCCGCGCTCAGGTTGAGGGCCGGGGGCCGAGGGGGGGCGCGGAGGGAACATCTGCTCCGCGTTAATGCGGGGGGAGGCGGCCGAGGCGGCTCGGTGTGGCGAGCGGAGGGGCGGCGGCGCCCCAGCTTCAAAGGGCTCCTGGGCCGCGCCGCCTGCACCGGCTGTGGCGGTGGAGGGGGTGGGGGGGACGGTTGGTTTCCCGGGCCTCCCCTCCTCAAAGGAAGACGTTCCGATCCCCCTCTTTCGAAGTGGTTCCAAGTACTTTCTGAGTCCCCAAAAGTCCTTGTGACTCCCCAAAAGTCTTAGCTCCCTAGAAAAGCCCTCTTCAGCCCCCCCTCCCACCACCACCACCAGTCTGTTAAAATCAGTTTCATCTATCCTACAAAAAAATTGCGGTTTCGTACTCAAAAAGTCGGTTTCACATGGCCTCCCCAAAAGAAAAAAGTTAGCGGGGGAGGGGGGCCCGGGGGCGGCCGTTTCACACCCGGTCTCTAGTTGACAAACAAAGCGGGGAGTTCACCACTGAAGTTGGGTCTCCCTCGGGCTCGGAACCCCCTCTTTCCGCAGCTTCCGCGGGGTCCCCGCGGCCACCCCTGCCCACATCTGGGGACCCGGGGAGGAAGCCAGAGGGGTGTCTTGTCCGTCTGCGGGACAACGGAGACCTGCTCTGCGCCTTTCCCGGGGGTGGGGGAGGGTGAGGTGGAGGGGGGAAGGGTTCTGGCAGGTGGATCCCCCACCCCCGGTTCTAGAATGGAACCCCCTGGGACCATGCAGAGAGGATCCTGGTCTAGGAACCCGCTTTCCCCAGTGGCGGGTGGCAGGAGATGTTTTTAAAGTTGCTTAAAAATAATTCCCGGATACATCGGGGTTGTTTTTTGTGGGGGGAAGAGGTGGAGGGGAGCTTTGAGAGTAGGTTCCCTCTCCCCCCCAATTCAGTCATGAAGAGGGCAAAGGGCTTCACCTTGAGGATTCTTTTCCTTTGAATTTGGGGTGACCGAGACTTAAGCGTGCTGTGACAGCTGCTTGGGAGGGGGGTCAGCAAATTTCCTGGGGCGGGGTCTGAGTCGCCCCTCCCCCTTCCCAGAGGCGGGGCCAGGGCTAACTTGGGGGGGGTGGGATGGGAGATGGGGTGGTGGGATGGGAGATGTGGCCGGAGAGGGGCCTAGTAGTAAGTGGAGAAGGGACTACTCCCGCTCTGCTGCCAGTTTAAAATTTGCGGCTTGAGTCCCTGGTGGTCGCAGAGGGAATTAGGAGTTCTGCATTTGCTTACTCCCCCTCTCCCTCATTGTTCAAACTCAGAGGGCTCTGGGCAGGGGTCTCTCCAGGGGCTGGACGTTAAAAGCCCTGTGCCACCCCCAGGGTCAGGAAGGGACTCAGTCTAGGAGGACCCAGACCCTCAGGATGGTTAGAGGGGCTTTTAAAAACAGCTTCCTCATTCCCCATCTGACTGCTTAGGCCACAGTCACTCAAATTTTTCCCCTCTGTTCATTTCTCCTTATGTGTCTGTCCCTGCCCCTTCTGCTTTCACCACCACCACCATCCACCACCGTGGGCTACCAAGCAGGGCCATCTCTAGGACTGAGGTACCCACCTTGGCCCTTGAGCCCACCATTGCAGCTGGAGAATGAACCAGCCGCAGAGGATGGCACCCGTGGGCACAGACAAAGAGCTCAGTGACCTCCTGGACTTCAGCATGGTAAGCCAGGCTCCGCCCATCTCTCAGACACCCCCTGCACCTGCAGGATTCCTGGGAAAGAAGCACCAACTGAAACAGCCCCAACAGCCAGACCTCACACTTGTTTAGATGGAGGGGTCCCTAGGGGGAGTTGGGGTGTCCCTCTGGGACCGGGGGGGGGGGGGGGGGGGGGAAGAGTGGCAGTGGGGCCCTTGTCAGCTTCCAAAGGCACCTGTCACCCAGGCATTTGTTGGGGCATAGAGTGGGTCCCGTCTACCACTCTACGGGTGGGGAAACTGAGGCCCAGAGAGTGGAAGGGACTGCCCAGAGCTTCCATTGTCTCCAAGGGGAGGCTCAGCCCTGATCTGTAAAATGGATGTGATCGGGGTTATTTGCTACATTGAGGATTTTTTTTAAAAGGTGGGGAGGGGGGTGTCCATGGTTTTAACTAGTTATTGAGCCACACGGTGGCTAATGCATTCAGGTGACGGGAGGAGACCTCATGAACAGTGAGAATTTGTGGGCAGCACTCAGCCACCACTACTATTACTGCCATTGTTACTGTTGGGGAGAGGCAGGCCCCATGGGGGAAGGGGTTATACTTTAGGCGGTTTGATCCACCCTGATCTTCCCATTTCCTTGCCAGGTAGGTGGAGGTGCAGGGAGGGTACTGGCTTCCATAGGTCACACAGCTCAGACAGGCCCAGTGAGACCAGAAACCAGAGCAGAGCTCCGTTGAGTGCTGGGAGCTGGAGTGCACCTTGGACCAGGATCCTGGGTTTGTTCATCTGTGCAGTGGGCCACTGTGTCAGGTGTTAGGGTGATCGGTGTTTCCACACAAATCGAGGAACCCAGTGTGGACAGCTCCCTAAGTCTCACCCCCCCTCCCCCAAGCACCATTTTTGGTTTGAAATAGGTTGAGGGAGGACACTTTCGGTCTGAATTTAACCCTCCACTAGTATGAGGCTCAGGCCACTGAGGTCTGTCAAAAACAAGTCCCCAAACTGAAATATCAGCCATCCTGCTGAAAAGCAGCCCTTGAGACGGGGCCTCAGCTCAGGAAGGGCCAGGCTCATATTTTTAAGCCGTTTTATTTTTGTCTCCCTGGCTGAGTAACCACGGTACTTGGTTTTTTTGTTGTTTTTTTGTTAAACTGACAAGTCACAGACTACTGGGCCAGAACAGACCCGCTTGGGGATGGGGGAGCACAGTTTTAGAGCTGGCCCCTTTGCCTCCTCTATCTCTGAGAACCCTAAGCCACTTGTCAGCCTCCCTCTCCTGTCCACAGGGTCTGAATGTTTCCCCTTCCCCAGCTGAAAAACAGCAACTCATTTCACAGGCCGAGGGGGTGTGACTGGGGTCTCCTCTCAGAGAAACTCCGAGCTTGGTTTCTCATTGTCCCTCCTTGTTATGAGAGCGTGGCCTTAGCTCAGATCCCTTCCTCTGGTCCTCCACAGCGCCCCCTCTCACCTGCCCCACAGAAACCGAGTTCATTTATTTCTTTGAAAAGCTTTGTTTTTAGACTGAAACAAAGAAACTTAAAGGGAAGCAGCTCTTTTTTGGGTTAGTTTCTCAAAAGTAGAAAAGGCAGCAGTCAAATACACAGAAACAAAGGAAACCCAATTTAAATTGGTCCTAAGTCTCCTGAGTTAGAAAAGGAAGGTGTTGGGGTGAAGGTCCCTGAGTGGGCTAGAGATGGTCCCTCTGCCTGACGAGGAGCTGGGGAGAAAAGGGGTCTGGCAGCCCTTATCCTGGGCCTAACTGCGCTCCCCTCTGAGCTTGGCATGTGTCCTGAGGCCCCAGTGCCCAGGACACCCATGTGCTTTGGGGTTTCCCAACATCCCATGTGGTCAGAGCCCAAGTCCATTTCACAGGAGGGAATACTGAAGTTCAGGGGTATGGGGCCTCTCTGGGCTGATGAGGAGGCCCATAGTGCCCAAAGGACACAGCCCATTGCCCCCTGTGGCAAGTGCCACGTCAGTCCTGGGTACTCTAGGGCCGTGGTCAGCAAACCGAGGCTCGAGAGCCACATGCAGCTCTTTGGCCCCTTGAGTGTGGCTCTTCCACAAAATACCACTGCCTGGGCAAGTCTATTTTGAAGAAGTGGCGCTAGAAGAAGTTTAAGTTTTAAAAATGTGGCTCTCAAAAGAAATTTCAGTAGTTGTACTGTTGATATTTGGCTCTGTTGACTAATTTGCTGACCACTGCTCGAGGGGAAAAAATACAAAAGACAAGTCCCAGGGGTTAGCTACTGACCTCCAGGCATGGGGCCCTACTGGTTCTGGTCCTGGCTTAGGCCAGCCCCTCCCCCAGTTAGGCCTCAGTTTTGCCAATGGGAGAGGGTCCATCTTGGAGAAGAGGGCCCTGGAGAGACTGGCCCAATTGAAGGAACACAGCCACACACACACATTTCCCAAGGGGGTTGCAGACCGCATGAGCCCATGCTCCTAACTCCTACCAGGGTCAATTGAGCATGTGGCCTTAGTTTCTCCTCCTATAGGATGGGGCATGGGAGATAGGACCCCACTTCCTGGGCTCCTCCCAAGCCTCATGGTACCCACATGAGAGTCATACCTTCAAGTGAAAGATGCACCCTCACATTCTGGCTGGTCTAAAAAGGTTTGGGGGAGCCTTCAGCCACTCCACAACGGGCCACTGGCCTTGATTCCAGCTACTTTAATCACTTGATCCCCAAATGAAATCTAAAACCCAGATCTGTGGGAAATGGCAGATTGTGTGTTGTGTGTGTGTGTGTGTGTGTGTGTGTGTGTGTGGTAAAGAGTTTGTTGATGTTGGGTTTTCCCATTTAAACTACTAAGCTGTTTAATCTATAGGGACTTAACACCCAGGGTTTGGGAATGGAGGATGGTGCCCAGGGAACCACTCAGTCATGGCGGGTATAGCCCTTGGTGCCTTCAGCTTTTTTCCTCTTCTGAAGGGCAGGCAGGCATCAGGGTACGGCGGGAGGCGGGGGGGGGGGGGGGGGCGCAAGGGCTGCCCAGACTGCTGCTGAGCAGAGCCCCGCATTAGAAGACACTCCATCGGGGTCATGCTGTCTGACCCAGCAGTGGGCCTGACTGTCTTCCCCATGTCGCTGCTGCTCAGACAGGGATGTGCACGTGGTGACCTTTGGGTGGCTGGAGGGGCTAGGCAGGGTCTACCTATTGGGTATAAATGGTTTCACTTTTTAAGTTGAAACTTAAAACTTTGTGTCACATCTAACAACAAGTAAATTTTATCAAGTATCTAAGTAATTAGTCCATCAAAAAAAAAAAAACACCTGGAAAAATATAAACCTTGTGTAAACAGCAGGTTTTAACTTCCACTGAACACTGTTGCCTGTGGCGGGCTGTGCCGTCAGGGGCCTTGGGTAAGGGCTTCTCAACGAGAGCCTTTCTCTGCTCAGGCTGCCTCTTCCTGCCTGGGCCTCTGATGGGATAGGACCCTAGGTAGAGCTGCCTCTGGATTTGCCCCCCTCAACCTCATTTCCCTCTCTCTGCCTCCCCACAGATGTTTCCCCTGCCAGTGGCCAATGGAAAAGGCCGGCCCACCTCCCTGGCTGGTGCCCAGTTTGGAGGCTCAGGTAGGACCCCACTGCCTTGGGGCTGCGAGTTTGCATAAAAAGATGAGCTTGTGTAGAGGGTGGGCTGGAGCAGAGCAGGAACAGGGTACAGCACCGGACCTGGAATGTGGAGTGGGCTGAGTTTGGCTGCAACCAGAGTGCCAGAGGAGGAGGTGTTGTGGGAGTGGCGCTCAGGTCCAGCAGCTGGAGTCGGGGCTGGAGAACAAGCTCTGTTGCAGTCGCACAGCCTGCGCTGAGTACAGTGAGGGGAGCCTGGAGGTCAGCATATCATCCTTTGTCCAGCACTTGGAACCTGGCCCCTGGACTGGGGATGGGAAGCATCTGTGTCACTCACAAGGGGTCTTGTGTGAGACAAGGACTTGAGCCTCTGAGGTCTCTTGGCCGCAGTGGGGTCCTGGGTCTCCATTCCATCCCCAAAGGGGAAGCTGTGGTCTAGAAGGGGCATGATATAGAACTTTAGCCCTTGACAAATCTTGCCCATCCTGCAAGCCCGGGAGAGGCCCAGCTCCTGGCCTTACTGTATACAGGAGGATTCAGAGGGTTACTGGGACTTAGAGCATTCAAATTGGGCATATCCAGGCAAACCTGGATACCCAAATTGGTCGCTCTACCTGGAACTGAGTGCCATCGACATGCTTATGAGAGGATGGACAGTGGCCTGAAGGAACCTACTGCAGGGGTCAGGAAGCAGAGCAGCAGGGAGGGAGCTTCTACAAAGCCAGGCCAGTTGTGGTTGGTCTCCAGGGAGAAGTTTGAGTAGAGACAGGGTGAAGGAATTCAAGGCAGGGGGCATAGCACATGCAGAGGCCCTAAGGCAGGCACTTGCTTGGCATCTACTGTGCTGGAGAAACAGGGAGGAGGCGTATGTGGCTGGAGCAGAGTGAACAGGAGAGAGGAAAATGAGGGAAGGGAGAAAATGGGGGCCGGTCATGAGTACCTTGTGTGCTATGGTGAGGATTTGGACTTTCATCCCAAAGGAGATGGGAGCCCCGGAGGGCTGTGAGCGGAGAGTTGCCATGTGCATGTTGGGGAGTCCACTCTGGCTGTCTGGGGAGCCTTTGCGGGGGCTGGCTGTTCCGGTTTCCAGCACATCCGGCACTCTGTGGACTTTGGCGTCTTTCTGGGATCCCAGGATTGGCGCCATGCCATTAGCATCTCTGAGATGCAGGAAAGAAAGTTTTGTCTTGGAATAATTTCTGAATCCCACTGGGATATCCAATGAGGTCTGGTTTATGTTCATGCACCACCCCAAAGGGAGAAATATTGTGTTGCCACCCCCATTGCCCTGCACTGGCCTTCCTCTCTGCCTGAGGAAGTGGCAGCAGGGACAGCCAGAGTCCTCCTTGAGGTATGGAAATCCCCACCTCCCTCCCCCCTGAAATAGCCCCCAGGAGTTAGGGTGCTTCCACTTCCCTGCCTCAGGCAGAGGATCAGCCCCTGGGGGCTTCTTGGAGAAGGTGTCTTTATCTTGTCCTGGGTCTCTGCCCTGAGCTGTCTTCTTTAATTTGGTGTCCACTCACAAGGCCAGCAGCCCTTAATAGCCAAAACCACCCTAGCTGGTTTGGCTCAGTGGATAGAGCATTAACTTACAGACTGATGCTCTATCAGTTCAATTCCAGCCAAGGGCACAAGCCTGGATTGCTTGATCCCCAGAGGGGGGTGTGCAGGAAGCAGCTGATCAATGAGTCTCTCTCATCATTGATGTTTCTACAATATCTTTCTATCCCTCTCCCTTCCTCTCTAAAAATCAATAAAAAAATATATATATTTTTTAAATAGCCAAAACCATGGCCCAAGGGATAAAGGTCCCCTCTAGGAACTCCTGTAAATATTTGAAGATAGATTTTCTGTGGTTTCTGCAGCCCCTGCCCTCCCTCTGGACAGGGAGGGTCATGTTCACACATGCCCCCCTCCCCCTTTTCATCAGTAAGTGGGTCACCATTCTTCCAGACAGAGTAGGTCAGTTTAAGGGGGGCACCACTATTTATCAAGAGTTTTCAAATGTGCCCGATGGTGTAGCTCAGTGGTAGAGCATCGACCCATGAACCAGGAGGCCAGGGTACCATTCCTAGTCAAGGCGCATGCCGGGCTTGTTGGCTCGATCTCTAGTAGGCGGTGTGCAGAAGGCAGCCAATCAGTGATTCTCTCTCATCATTGATGTTTCTGTCTCCTTACCTCTCTCTGAAATCAATTAAAAACATATAGATATAAATATAGTTTTTTGTTTTTGTTTTTTAAGTTTCAAAATGCTAGTAGGTCCTCTAGCCACAATCTCCTCACACCTCCTTGTAAGTCCCGGTCTGGCATTTTCCTGGTGTTGGCTTTAAGTTAACTTGCTTCTGTTAAGTTTATTTCAAAAGGTCATTTCCTATCAGAAAATCAGCAGCCTGGCTCTAAGTACTAAGTAGGAGGTGTCTCTGAAAGTAACTGAGATAGTAGCTGAGTGGCATGTTGAGAGTCTGTGGGCAGCCTTGCCCATGGCTGCCTGGGTCATCTCTGCTTTGAGAAAATGGTGTCAGAAAGGCACTGATGACCAACCAATGCCAGGCTGAGGCTTTCTAGTTATTCTCTGGATTGGAAGACATGTAAAACAATAATTTTTCCAATTTTTCCCTTTGGGAAACCCTGAGGCACAGATCTCTACTTGACAGTGTATTCTCTGCCAAAGACTAAAGGGTTCAAGGCCACATGAGATATCAGGGAGTGCTCATTGTTAGACTAAAGGAAGTGTCTGTTTTTAATTTCTCGGTTTTCTTGGTTTGAGTAAACCTGGCGTGCTTTGGTAAACATCTAACGCTTAGGAGAGGTGGCTTCCACATTGGGTCTTTGTAAGGACCCTGCAGCATATGTGTGTGATTGTCCTCTGGGGAAGTCACTAGCTGACTGTGGCCGTGTATTTGCTGTGAAATGCCCTCACCCCTTAACCAACCTTGGGTCTTTTGAAATCATCATGGATACATAGGACATTGCAAAGATTGTACAGAGAGACCCCATGTTCTCCCCCAGTCCCCCAGACATACTGCATGTCTGTAATATACGGGATTGGGAAGATGACCTTGGTACAATCCACATTTTATTCAGGGCTCACCAGTGCGTGTGTGTGTATGTGTGTGTGTATGTATAGTTCTATGCAATTTGTCCTACATTTAGCGCCATTAAGCCACCACCACAATCGAGACACAGAGCTCTTCTGTCATCCCACTCTCTTCTGTTGCCCCTTCAGCCACTTGCATCCAGTGACCACTAATTTAGTGCTCTCCATCCCTACTTGTGTCCTGTTGAAAATGTTAGATACACAGACCCATACAACTTCTCACCTTCTAAAGTTGGCTTTGTCCGCTCAGCATAAAAGGAACCAACCATTGAAACAGCCAACAACTGGAGATCTGTCCCAGTTGTTGGCTGTTTCAATGGTTGGTTCCTTTTTTGCTGCTTTATAAACATTTTAGCAAAAGCAATCTTAACACTTAACCAACAATAACTTATGTCACCATTTCTTGAACACTGTATGCCAATGGGTCATTGATTGAGAGTCTTCTGTCCTCAGAGGTCAGTAAAATAGGTGTTATCATCCCCATTTTACTCATGGAAAAGCTAAAACAAGTTTAATAACGATCCCAGGTAACCACTCAATGCTTCTCCCTATAATGTGTCGTAGTCCCAACCTATACTGACTTGTTTGTTTTTAAAATATATCTTAACTGATTTTTTACAGAGAGGAAAGGAGAGAGATAGAGAGTTAGAAACATTAATGAGAGAGAAACATTGATTAGCTGCCTCCTGCACACCCCCTACTGGGGATGTGCCCGCAACCAAGAATTGAACCTGAGACCCTTCAGTCCGCAGGCTGACGTTCTATCCACTGAGCCAAACCGGTTTTGGCCTGACGTTTTTTATTTGCAATAATTTTTATATAAGAAGGATGCTTATTGCCAAAACTGGTTTGGCTCAGTGGATAGAGCCTCGGCCTGCGGACCGAAAGGTCCCGGGTTCGATTCCGGTCAAGGGCATGTACCTTGGTTGCGGGCATATCCCCAGTGAGGGGGGTGTGCAGGGGGCAGCTGATCGATGTTTCTCTATCATCGATGTTTCTAACTCTCTATCTCCCTTCCTCTCTGTAAAAAATCAATAAAATATATATATATTTTTTAAAAAGGATGCTTATCTTTTATTTAAAAAATATTTTTATTGATTTCAGAGAGGAAGGAAGAGGGAGAAAGAGAAACATCAATGATGAGAGAAAATCATTGATTGGCTGCCTCCTACATGTCCCCAACTAGGGATCTAGGTCACACTGGGAATCAAACCATGACCTGGTTCATAGTTCAGTACTCAATCACTGAGCCACCTGGCCCGGCAGGATGTTTATCTTTTATGATCTATATTGTAGCTGTTTTTTCCCAACTTACCACTATTGTTAATAATGGAGGTTTTTCATTTGTCTCAGGAGACTATTTATTTATTTATTTATTTATTTTAGAGAGAGGAAGAGAGAGGAAAAAAATCCATCTATTCCTTCCATATATCCACATCTAGGTATGTGCCCTGACTGGGAATCTAAATTGCAACCTTTTTGGTGTACAGAACAAAGCTTCAGTCAACTGAGCCAACCAACCAGGGCTGGTTTAATTTCTATGATGTGTCAAGTCTTTTTCATTTATGATGTGTTTTAGACTTGGTGCCATTTCTGAGAAATCCTTAAGAACTGGATGATAGTCCATTCTGCAGTTTAGATGTGCAACCATGAATGTGTCTGCTGCTTGTTACATCAGGTTGAGGGATATATGGGAATACGCTGGAGGATAGGAAAGCATGCTGTCACCATCCTTGTCAGAGCAAAGACATAAAAATTTACTAGGGGACAGCAACCTTAACAGTGATCGCAGCTGAGCTAACCATCTCCGGCCAAGTGCACACATCTGGCTCATTCACAGGGCTGCTCAGAACACACATCCCTGGACCCAGTACCTTCAAAGACTGTGTGGCCTCCAGCAGGAACA